GGGGGGGGGGGGGGGGGACAAAAAAGGAGGAAAGAGAGAGGCAAGGGAAACCCATACTTTTCTTCCTTGTGTTTATGGCTTTGGAGATATGGCAGTTTCTTTCTGAGGACAAGGGGTTCAGAGGAACAGAAGGGTGATGTCAAGCAGGTCTTGGTTCCCTGTGCCTGGCCCTATAGATGTTGACATTTTCATCCTCATCCCGCTGGGCCAGCTCCAGTTGGAAATGCTGGGGGAGGAGATGCTGAAAGAAGCTCTCTGTCCCGTGCTCCTCTCTCATCTTGGAGGCCAGATAGATGGTGCCATGGGGCCCGCATAGGTGCTGAAGGGTGCCCAGCAGCAGCGGGAAGGTGGGCTCCAGGTACACGATATCGGCCCCCAGCACCAGGTCATAGTCTCCGGGGAAGACATGCTGGTCAATCCCCCAGGACAAGGCGCGGACCTGGGCCCGGCCTCCAGCCGGCACATTGGCCTGGACGTTGCCCCGGATCTGCTCTAGGGCCAGGGGCAGGTCAGTGATGGTAACATCCCCCCCTGAGAGAGAGGAAGGAGGAGAAATGCAAGTCAGAGGGACCAGTCGAGGGGTCTTGGCTCCTGCCCAGAAGATCCAGAGACCTCAGGGCCTAGAGGACAGTGTCTTGACAGCCCAAAGTGAACATTTTGTCTTTTAGTTACTCTCACCTCCATCTCACCCACTGCCGTTCTCATTACATTCTATAACATCAGCGTTCCCTCTGAGCTAATCTTCAACCTCTCTGCCCAACACACAACAATCAGCTGTCAGCAGAAGACTGGGCAGGACCAAGCTGGACATGGGCTGCGCACCCAGCCTCTACTGACCGAAACCAAACTTCATGGGTCGGGAAAACTTCCCAGAAGACATGACCTCAGCAAGCCTTAAAGAACAAGTAGGAGTTAGTTAGTCAGGTGGAGCCTTCCAAGCAGAGAACAGAAAGTACAAAGGCCTGGTGGTGAGAGGCATGCATATTCAAGGAAGGCTGAATCTTAGGGCATGTGGAAGGGAGGAGAAAAGTGTCAAGACAAGAGAATAATGACGACATGCTGAAGAGACTCAGGCTTGATCCCGAGGGTGGTGGGTTTTATAGGTAGAGGCAGAGAGTGAAGATAATCAGATTAGCACTTCAGAAAGCTTCATTCATGCAAGAAATACAGGTATCGAGCACCTACTAAGTTCTGGCAGTATAGAGGTGAGCAAGATAAAACCTCAGCCTTCCTTGGGTTTTATTTCAGAGTTTTTGAGTTTTATTTTACACTAGGTACTGCAAAACTAATCATGATCATGATGACTGTTACAGAACAGGAAGTACTAAGGATTCCTTTCTTCGTTAATATTTGTTAGGTGCCTATATGCCAGGTGCTGAGAATACAGCAGTGAACCAATCAGCCAAGAATCCCTCCGCTCATGGGAATTATGGTCTAGTGGCAAAAAGTGGACAATGAACGAAACAAGTAAAAGGAATGACACTGTACATCAAATGGTAATAGGCGCTATGGTGAAGCGTTAAGCAGAGAAGGGGGAGAACTGCTTATGGGAGGGGGCAGGGAGTGTGATTTTAAATTGAGTGGTTAGGAAAAGCCTCACTACACACATTATGTTTGGGCAAAGACCTGAAGGAAATGATGGAGCAAACCATGTGGACCTCTCAGGCTAAAACGTACCAAATGAGGGACTGGCAAGGGCAAAGACCTTCCACCAGAAGTGTGTCCACAGGAAGGCCAGTGGCTGGAGCAGAGTAGGTGAGGAGGAAAGCATGGGCCAGATCCTCACCAGGGCCTTGTAAGGAGGCTGTGAGAAATTTGGCATTTACTGAGACAGGAAGCTATTGGAGAATTTTAAGTGGAAGAATGGCATAAACTGACTTCAGCTTTAAAAGGATCACTCTGGGGGTGCCCGGGTGGCTCAGTTGGTTAAGCATCCAACATCAGCTCAGGTCATGATCTCGCGGTCCATGAGTTCAAGCCCTGCATCAGGCTCTGAACTGTCAGCACAGATTGAACCTGTTTCAGATTGTGTCTCCCTCTCTCTCTCTCTCTCTCTCTGCCCCTCCCCTGCTTGTGCTCTCTCTCAAAAAAGAAATAAGCATTAAAAATAAATATCTTTTAAAAGGATCACTCTAGCTGCTATGATGAGAAAGGACCACAGAGGGGTAAGGCCAGAACCAGAGACCAGTTAGGAGGCAGCTACAGTGACCCAGGTGAGAGGTAATGGTGGTTTAAACCAGGGCAGTAGCAACATCTCAGAAGTGGTCAAATCCTGAATGATTTTGAAGGTACAGTCAACAGGATTTGCTGACAGATTGGATACAAAATACTACAGAGAGAGAGACAGAAGTTGAGGACGGGTCCAAGATGTTTGACCTGACTGGCTAGAAGACCGAATTGCTATGTACTCAGAGAAGGAAGGCTATAGGAGGAGCAGGACCAGACATGAAGATCATGGGTTCCTTTCTGAACACACTAAGCATGAGATGCCCCCCCAGACAGTGAAGATATCAGTACGCAGGAGGTTCCATAAACAAGTCTGGAGATGGAAAGGAGGGAATTATAGAGTCATCAGCATAGAAAGGTTATTTAAACCCATGAGGTGATGGGATTGCTCAGGAGTGAGTGTAGACTGAAAACAGAAGGGGTCAAAGGACTGCTCCTGAGCCCTGGGACACTCAAACTTCCATTTGTCAAGATAAAAAGAAACCAAAGGAGATTGGAAAAGAGTGCCAGTGAGGTAAGCAGAAGGCAGAGGTGTGGTACTCTAGAAACAAAAGGAAGCATCTCAAGGAGGAAGGGCAGTCATATGCTGCAAAGTCAAGTAAGGTGGTTTCATGGCCGACTCTGGTTGGAAATAAAGTTGGAAATGAAACTCACAACCTTGACTCCTGCAACTGGAGGTGGAAGTGTGGAACAGATGGAGGGAAGAATAGTAAGACAGGTACTACAGACAATGACAAGTAACTCTTTTGAGGAGTTTTGTTGTAAGCAGAACAGAGAAATGAGGTGGTAACTGAAGGAATATGGACAACCAACAGTTTCCTTCTGAGATAGGAGAAAATATACCAGATAGATAAATAGATAGATAGATAGATAGATAGATAGATAGATAGATAGATAGATATAGATGCGTATGCATGCATAGACACACACACATAGAATGTTCCAGAGAGAAGGAAAAACTGATAATGCAGCGGGACTGGGAGTGGGGAGGAGTTTTGCTGGAACAATGTCTTTGAGCAGATGAGAAGGTTAAGGGTCTTGTGAGAAGTGGAGGGCTTGACCTTAACTAGGGGCACAATGTGTTCATCCATGGTAACAGGGGAGAAGGCAACCCTTAAAAAAGATATAGACAGGTGAGGAGACGTTGTGATAAGAACATGTGGACATTTTCTATGGGAAAATAGAAGCAATCAGAAGAGATGGGCAAGAAAGTCATCAGCTGAGGGTGAAGACGGGGGAGGAGGCATTGGCAGGTTTGAAGGCGAAAAGGTAAGCAACAGATGTTTAGAGGAGTGGACGAATAAGTGGACAAGGGAAGTGTAATAGACTAGCTGGGTGGCAGGTAAGGACTCACCTGAGGTTAGTAACAATAAATTTAAAATGAAACCAGTCAGCACAGTTGTGTATACGCTAGGAGGGCCCACCTTAGCCTGGAGATGGGGATATCAAAGAGGCCTTCCCTTGGAAGGGATGTTTGAGCTGAGCATTGAAGGATGAGTATGAATTAACCAGGTGATCCAAGCACTGCAGACAGAGAGTAGTCTGTGTGAAGGCTCCAAGGATGGGAACATCAAGATAGACTTGAGGCACAGACAGAAGGCCAAGATGTAGCACGAAGAGTACAAGAAGGGAGGGAGGGCACAAAAAGAGTCCAGAGAGGGAGGCAGGACCTTGGAGGCCATGCTACAGGTGTTGGTTTGATCTTGAAAGAACAAGAAGTCATTGAAAGATGGAGGTGAAAGGTAAGTACAACTGCATTCTTGAAGAGATCACTCTGACTGCTGGGTAGAGTGGGCAGAGGTCTAGGTGGGGGCAAGGATTCAAAGCAGAAAGACAAGTTTGACTAAATGTAGTAATCCAGGCAAGTGACGGTGGAGGCATGGACTGAGGAACCATCAGTGTCGATGGAAAAACATGAGGTTCAAGAGGCTTTTAGGACATAAAATCAGTAGGAGTTGAGTAATGGATATGGGGGTGAGAAAAAGGGGCATGTATGTCAAAGGTGATGTCTAGGTTTCCCACTGGGGAGATGATGGTTTGATTAACTGGGATGGGGAAGCCTGGGTTCAGGAAGATCACAAGATCTAATTTAGGCATGCTAAACTTCCCAGGGGAAAGCTGGAAGACACTTGTGAAAACCCAGGGAAGTGGCCTGAACTAGAGATGGGAGGAAGAGGAGCAGACAGCAGGGGAAGTATTAAGGACATATGACCCCCAGGATTGACTGATTGCAGGGATGTGAGCGGGAGAGGGCAAGGGACAAGATGACACCCGGATTTCTTACTTGGCATCTGAATCAGGGGCAAAGGAGGTGAAGCCAGTCTTCGAGCATATAGAAACAGGTGTTCCCATCCATATTCCACACTTTTCTCCCATTTTAGCATAACTGCACACCTCTCGTCTGCTCATCCGTTGTGGAAAATTGCTCTTAACACTCCCTTGGTTCTTTCTGAGCCTGCTGTGTTCACACTGTTCACCTTCTCATTGGACAGAGCTTTCCCTTGATGAATTCCCAGGGAGTCAAGGGAGACATAGCCAGAGCATGTCCACTGGCTCTGTGCATACATCACCATAATTCCAGTACTGGAACATCTTCCTCTACCTTCCCCACTAGACCATAAGCTCTTCAGGAACAGGAAAGCTGTCTTACTCACTGTTGTATCCCAATACCTGGCATGATTCTTGGAACATAGAAGACTCCAAGTACATACTGATTGAGTGAAGAGAAGAATGAATGCCTGCCTCTGGGAAGACCTCCCTGAACGTGACCTAGTTGTATTCCCATGAACGAAGACATTTGCATTGACATCATAAGTGTTTTAAATGAGTGTGTTGGGTGTGAGGTTTTGCCTGTCCATTAGATTATAAATTAAGGAAATGTTTCCTTTGTAGTTTCGGGTTCTTGACAAAAGTGAGGCAAAACTTCCCTTCCCTTTTCCTTTCCCAAGTCTGTGGTGCCTAATTCCTACCCCACTTCCCACAAAACACACCCTAACGCTCAGAAACTGAAGCTTATTTCTCTCAAGCAGTCAAAGCCTTACAAATCTAAAATATATTCATGATAAAATTATAAAGCACTCCTGAGGTTTAATACATGCAGATTGCTCCCCCTACAGAGTCCCCCCCACATATGCATTTTGACAAAAACCGCAAAGGCGGTTTTAAGTGACAGCATTGTCCACGAAAGCACAAAGAGCAAAAAGGTGGAAACAACTCCTTCCTCTAAAGCCTGCCCGATTTTTATTTCCGGCCCCCAAATCAACTACCCTGGGTGCTTTCTCTGGCACACAGAAAGATGCGCGCGCGCGCGCGCGCGCACACACACACACACACACACACACACACACACACAGTGTGTTAAAAAGAGACTGATCTGGTTGCAAACCACTCCCTTCTCCCAAGAATCCAGGGAGTGACTATTCCTCCACCACCCAGTCCCCGCCACTCCCTCCTGCCACGAAGTTCACGCACCCTGCAGCGCAGCCAAGATCCCCACGATGCCCGTCCCCGCGCCCAGTTCGATCACTTTCTTGCCTCGGAAATCCACATTTTGACTTTCGAAATAGTTGCACAGGCTCAGAGCCTACGGGGGGAAAAAAGGGAGAGAGAAAAAAAACTGTCGCGGGGACGGCTCCATATGGGAGAGGGGGAGTCGGGGATCTGGACCTCCCCGGGACCCTCGTCCAGAGCCGCCCACTCCTCACCGCGTCCCACACTCGCGCGGCCACTCCAAGGCGGGAGCCGAAGTTCTGTGTGATGCTCAGCACGTGCCCACAGAAAGAGAACCTGCTCTTCTCCGAGTAAGAGTCGGCAAAGAGCCCCACCTCCCGCGGGAACACGGATTCGGACTCTGATTCAGGATCTGCGCGGGGGTCCGCCATCTGGCCGAGAGAGTGCGCGGACACCGCGTCCAGCTCTGGGATCCCGGATCTGAGGCGGGGTAGGGGTGGGGGGCTGCGGGTCCACTCGGCTTCTCCGTGGCACCGAGCCCCGCCTCCCCGAGTCCGCCCTCCCTCCTGCACTTTGACTTCCTGGAGGTGGGATGAGGAGCTGCCCCTCCCGCTCCGGTCCCCAGCAGACACCCGACGGGGCCCACGTCGAACCACGGGGGGCAGGCCCTGGCGGACTGGTCCGAGACCCGGGTACGGGGTGGGGGCGGTGGAGCGAGGATCAATTCTGTAGGAAGCGGGGTCCTGGGACCCCTCTCACTTGCGGGGTGCATAGGTGCCTGCAACTAGGATGGTAACCCAGACCACGCAGAAGCGGGCTAAGCAAAGAGGCAGGGTGCCAAGTCAAGCCTTGCCAGTCCAGCGGGAGATCGGTGCCTCAAAGGCGCCCTCGGGCTCTGACCCCCTCCGGCCCTCCGCGCCGAGGGCCACCGAATTCACTCTGGGTCTTTAAAAGGCGGGGTCTGCTCACACCCTGCCTGATGCGTCATTATCGTGCGACTCGGGCCTTGGTCTCCACGTGGGTTCAGTGGAGTAACCCGGAGCGGGGATCATGGCGGGAGCCGAGACTGGGGACGCGGCAGGAGCCGAGGCCCCGCAGCCCCAGAAGCGCTACTATCGGCAACGTGCTCACTCCAACCCCATGGCAGACCACACGCTGCGGTAGTGAGTGAGGGGGACGGGAGGCAAAGGAGGGAGGAATGCTCGCAGCAGCTCGCAGCAGCCGGGAAAGACTATTGTGCCGGAACGGTCAGCGGGGTCTCAGAGAAGGGATAATCGGCAGAGTGACTTTAGGGGTGGGACGCGGAGATTTGGCGGGGGCGGAGTTGGAGGGTTGGGAGGGGGCGTGGCTTCTGGCCGTAGTCTCAGTGGAGGTGCCAAGTCTGGGGAGAGAAAGTAACTTGCTGAGACTGGACTGATGCAGGCAGAATAGCGTTTCCATCTTTCGGTTTCGTTGATCGGATTTAATAAAAAGACAAACATATACATGAATCCCGCCCACCCCTTACTCTGTCCTCTTACCACAAAGCACACAAAAAAGAGTAAGGTCCCGGTGCCTTAGTCAGTCAGTCTCCGGGGGGAGGGGAACTTGTGCCCCAGAAAGGAGAGCTGCCTGACCGGAGTCACATCAACTCCTAGAAGTGGAGATGGACAGGTCAGCAATCAAGAGCCTCATGATGGGCCTATGATTCACACTGGGGGTTAAGGGTGGTTTCCATTGTGTCTCCTAGAGACCACAGGGCCCACTGTTAACAGAATTTTTGAGAAATGCTCTTCCCATTTACCTCCCACCCTTACATATTCGCCCACACACATGTAGTACCACTTCTGCAATGGCATGACCCACCTTCTCACGTCTCTCCTGTCTTCTCTCCAATAGCCCTGTGAAGCCAGAGGATATGGACTGGTCTGAGCTATACCCAGAGTTCTTCGCTCCACTGACTCAAAATAAGAGCCATGATGACCCAAAGGATAAGAATGAAGAGAGAGCTCCGGCCCAAGTAGAGTTTGCAGACATAGGCTGTGGCTATGGTGGCCTGTTAGGTAACATTCTGGCCTTTTCTCTAGGGCAAGGAGAGGCAATGCCTGGGTTCTGCTACCTCAGCAGGTTTGGTGGGGGCCATAGTTGGCCTTTCCCCTTCGGACCAGACACCAGTGCTGTGACATCAGTGTGGAGAGCCTCTACCTTCCCTGTACTCGGGGTCTGTGGCCTTTGCCCTGGAGAAGGGAGGGTGTTGTCTCAAATGCTTCTTAGAACTTGGGTTGTTGTCCTGTCTGGCCCCACCCCGGCCTCACTCCCTACTTGAGCCACTTCACCTGCAAGGTGCCGGGTCAGTGAGCTGGTCAGCACAAGCGTCAGAGATTAGTCACTGTGGCCAGTGATCCTGAACTGTCTTTCTCAGGGATTCCACCACTCTTCCTCCCCTCCCCCCTTCTTCACCAGAACTCATTCTTTCTGCTCTACTCCCATGTTTTCAGGTTACTCTTGTATTGTCTGTATCGTCCCAGTCGTGCATGCCAGGCCACTTCTCTATTTTTATTTTTATTTTTAATGTTTACTTATTTATTTTGAGAGAGAGACAGAGAGTGTGAGCAGAGGAGGGAGAGAAAGACACAGAATCCAAAACAGGCTCCAGGCTCTGTGTCTCAGAGCCTGACGCCAGGCTCGAACCCATGAACCGTGAGATCGTTACCTGAGCCAAAGTTGGATGCTTAACCGACTGAGCCACCCAGGCACCCCTATTTTTAGTTCCTCCCATAGAGGTAACAGCGTGACAGAGAGAGGAAAAGCATGGTACTTGGTGGCAGAAAACCTTGGTTCAAGTTCCAATTCTGCCTCTTCTTAGCTCTAAGACCTTGGGCATTTCTGACCCTCAGTTTTGTCATCTTCACAATTTACCACAGAGTGTTATGAGGATTAAATGAGACAGTGTGTGAAAACCCTGCACATGTATGAGGTGTATGAAAACCAGTGTATGAAAACCAGTATGAGGTTGACGATTCCATTCTTATTTCTGTGCCCAGTGGAACTATCACCATTGTTCCCAGACACACTGATTCTGGGTCTGGAGATCCGGGTGAAAGTCTCAGACTATGTACAGGACCGGATTCGGGCCCTACGAGCAGCTCCTGGAGGTGGCTTCCAGAACATCGCCTGTCTCCGTAGCAATGCCATGAAACATCTTCCTAACTTCTTCCGCAAGGGCCAGGTGGGGAGGGGCCCCCATGGGTTAGGTTGGTAGGCGGATGAGGCACGGAGGCCAGGTTTTCAACCCTGTCGATGCATGTCTGTCTCACAGCTGACAAAGATGTTCTTCCTCTTCCCTGACCCACATTTCAAGCGGACGAAGCACAAGTGGCGAATCATCAGTCCCACACTGCTGGCAGAATATGCCTACGTGCTTAGAGTCGGGGTGAGTCGGGAGTAGGAGGGAGGGTGGGGTGAGTGGCCTATTCAGAGACCTTCCACTAAGGATTCAGTGGGGGTGCATGTAGGACTCACACCACCTCTCCCATCAGCTCCCCGCTCAATTGCATGCAGCCCCCTGTCTAGAGTGATTTTGCCTGTGCAGGGGCTGGTGTATACCATAACGGATGTGCTGGAGCTACACGACTGGATGTGCACCCATTTTGAAAGGCACCCCCTGTTTGAGCGTGTGCCTCTGGAGGAACTGGTAAGTAGGGGGCCTAAAGGAAATGGCAAAGATGCAGGCCTTTTCCAGAGTGGTTCTGTAGTCTTTGAACCCAGCTCAGTGCCAGGGGGATGAGATAGGAGTCTCAGGGCCAGGGGCAACCTGAAAGGTGGGCAAGGATTTATTGGATTCTTCCTTTTCCCAGACTGAAGACCCCATTGTGGGACACCTGGGCACCTCAACCGAAGAGGGAAAGAAAGTCTTACGCAATGGAGGCAAGAATTTCCCAGCCATCTTCCGAAGAATACAGGATCCCACCCTCCAGGCAGTGACTCCTAATCCCCCCTCTCTTGGCCACTGACTGCTTACCTTGCCTTAGCTTGACCCCTGGACCTTCCGAGCTGAGACTGCCAGGACCAAGAGGCGACAGTCTTTCAAAGAAGTTGGGAAACTGCCCAGGGCAGAAACCTGGGATTCACAACTACCCCTGACCTCACCTTGTTGCCCCTCTACCACCAGCAGAAAGCAAAAGAAACTGACTAGGAAGGTCAAAAGACCTTGAACCAGAAGGGATGTTTGGAAGGATGTGGGGTCTTGCTCTCCCTTAGCACTTCCTTCTCCTTCTGGGATCTCTCCTTCTCAGCTGGAGTGATGAATGGAATTCTCCACTGTCCATCTAAACTGCTTGCTAGACTCAGATCGCCTGTCCACTTGTGTTACTTTGCAGTCCTGGGGATAACATGTATACGTGTGTTGCTATTTCTCAGGAAAGACCAGAGCGTGTGTCACGTGCCTTCTCCCATTCCCCCATCCTCTCCCTGCCTGAGACTTGACCCGAGGAATCTGCTGCCTTTATTGTTGCTGTCTCAGGAGAGTCAGGGCGGGGGGCACAGAGACCCTCTCCTTTTTCATGTTGACCTTCGGTTCCAGAACTTCAGAGCCAACTGACTGGCACAGATCCCAGTAGAGGCAGGGTGGGGGAGTGAGGAGCAGAGAACTAAACTATGCTGGCTTCTGAGGCTAAAAGTGAAAATCAGCTGCTGACTAGAAATCCCCCCCAAAGAGGACTGAGTCAGCTGGAGGTTCAGAGCAAACACTTAGCCCTTGCTCCATCCAGGAGCCCAGAGAAATCTCTGAAGTTTTCTAACTTGCAAAAGTTCCTTTGTTTCTGCTCGTCAAGCCCCAGACTCCCATGGCTGGAAGGACGGAGTTTGTTGACCTAAAACACCACCCCCTTCCTCCTGAGGAACAAAGATGAAGGCTCCTGGAGCCACTTTAACCCATTAACTCACCCACCCTCTGCCCAGAGTCAGGTATGGGAGGGGGGAGGGAGAGATGTGGTAGTGTGGGAAAGTTCTGCTTATATCCAGAGAAGGTGCAGCCCCAGAAGCCAAGACTATGGAGACAGCTACAGTAGTCCGGAAGGAGCTGGAGGATGGGGAATTCCTGAGGATGGGCCCAAGGGGGCCTGGCTCCCTGGGGAAGTGGGGATACTAGGGGCTGACCCTGTACCTCGGTATCCTAAACCTCACCAAATAGCCTTTCCCAGGAAGAGATCTTCAGGCTGCTGGGTTGGGGCACCAGCCCAGAAGGGGAAACTAAGGCAGGCCTCACCTCCCAAGAGGGTCATTGCAACATGAGACCCAAGAGAGCTGCCAGGCAACTCCAGCCCCGCCTACTGTTCCTGGGTATTAATCCCCAATCCCCAGCTTGACCACTCGGGAGGAGATTGGTTGAGGAGCTTGAAGAGGGGGCGTCACCACTATCCCTCCCAAAGCTTAAATAGGGGTTCAAACAAGAAAGCTAGGTGCTTGGGAAAAGTGCTCTCTTTCACGGGCTCCCTGAACTAGACCATGACCCAGACTCTCAAGCTCGCCTCCAGAATGTTTCATCGCGTCCACCGTGCTCCCAAGCTGAGCGCCTCACTGGGTTCCAGAGGCTCCGACTCCGCGCCCAGGAGCTTGGCGGACATCCCAGGCCCATCCACGCCCGTCTTCCTTGCTGAACTTTTCTGCAAGGGAGGTCTGTCGCGGCTACACGAGCTGCAGGTAGAGGGGGGGACGTCGTTCCTGGAAATTAATGCTGGAGAAATTGGCTTTGACAACGCTAGAAAGGACAGACTAGTGCAGAAAGTAGGAAGAGGACCAGTGAGAACGGATGCCCATGAACTATAGAGAAATTGGGGCTGCCGGCAGTGGCTCGACCTACTCGGAGTCCATCCCTATACCCAGCAGAAGAGTGCGCTCAAAAAGCGCCTTCTTGCTCTGTAGAAGTTGGGGCCGAGTTAAGCCCAGAACAAGTGCTCAGGAGGCAGAAACGCACAGTACCTTAGCCGCGTTTCCAGCTTAAAGCTACAGGCGCTCCTATTCAGTCGCTGGGGGCTCGTCCCGAGATAGTCCACGTGAGGAACCTTTGGGATCTCTCCGCCTCGGTTTACCCCGGGCGACCTAAGAGAGAACCTGAATGTCCGTCCGCTTTGTGCAAAGTTCCTCCGTCTTGCCCATCACACTCAAACTTCCTAGGGATGTGAAGCGAGGAAAAGAGAAGGAGGAGAGGTTTGAAGCGTCAGGGCTACATACCAGCTGGGAGCTCGTGAAGAGACTGAAGCTCCCCCTTGCACAGCCCAGCGAACACCCTTGGAGTTGGTACGGACCGAGCTGGATGCCGGCGGCCCACTTCTCCAGTGTCCGCCTCCCCTTCTCCCAGGTGCAGGGCGTCGCGCGCTTCGGTCCCGTGTGGTTGGCCAGCTTCGGGAAGGTGCGCACTGTGTACGTGGCGGCCCCTACACTCATCGAGCAGCTCTTGCGACAGGAGGGTCCCCGGCCCGAGCGCTGCAGCTTCTCACCCTGGGCAGAGCACCGTCGCCGCCGCCAGCGGGCTTGCGGACTGCTCACCGCGTGAGTCCTCTCTGGCCTCAAAGCCCAAACGTCCTGCTGCGCCCCTCTCCTGTGGCTGGTCTGGAGACAGTCTGTCTCGGGGTGTGGAGGGAGGTCGGCCTTTTCCCTCAACCTTCTGGTAAATGGGGCTTCCCACCCCTGCCATTTTCGCTCAAGCTCAGGTAAAGCCCCGCCCTTGCCCCACCGCCCATCTCTTTGTCTTTTGAAGCCAAAATCCTGGGAATCCGCCGAAGGGGCGAAGGTACCAGGACCTAGGTGGAATGTCAGATTCTGTGACTCAAGTTACCCAGGAACCCAGGCCCCTCCGGGGCAGGAAATGAGTAACGAAGTAGGGGAATGGAAAGCGGGCACAGGCAGGGGCAGGTTTTGGTACCCCAGGGGAGCGGCGGCAGTCTCTTTCTGGCCACCCCGGCCGAACACGCTCCATCTTCGCTGCAGCCAGCTCCGTCCAGCCACCCACACACACCCCCATCCGCTCTGATGCGCCCCCTCTCTGCACACCCGTAGGGAAGGCGAAGAATGGCAGAGGCTCCGCAGCCTCCTGGCCCCGCTGCTCCTCCGGCCTCAAGCTGCCGCCCGCTACGCCGGAACCCTAGACGACGTGGTCCATGACCTTGTGCGGCGTCTTCGGCGCCAGCGGGGACGCGGCGCTGGGCCGCCCGCTCTGGTTCGGGATGTAGCAGGAGAGTTTTACAAGTTTGGACTAGAAGGTGAGTCCCAAGGCACGGGCAAGTGTAGGAGGCACCCGCCTGGGTTTCTCAGTGCCCTGACAGCGCCCCCTCGCGCCCAGGGATAGCCGCCGTGCTCCTGGGTTCACGCCTGGGCTGCCTGGAGGCCGAAGTGCCTCCAGACACAGAGACCTTCATCCGCGCGGTGGGATCGGTATTTGTGTCCACGCTGCTGACCATGGCGATGCCTAGCTGGCTTCACCGCCTCGTGCCCGGACCCTGGGGCCGCCTCTGCCGAGACTGGGACCACATGTTTGCATTTGGTAAGGCATGGAAATGAAGTGAGGATAGGGGAACATAAAGCTGTTCGGGGATGGTGAGGCATCCCTGTACCTTCTCCCCACACAGCCCAGCAGCACGTGGAGCGGCGAGAGGCCGAGGTAGCCTTGAGGAGCAAGGGAACGCCTGAGGAGGACGTGGGATCTGGGGCACACCTGACCTACTTCCTGTTCCGGGAAGAGTTGCCTGCCCCGTCCATCCTGGGCAATGTGACAGAGCTGCTACTGGCCGGAGTGGACACAGTGAGGTTCTCCTCCCTGTTGGGAGCCCTTCCAGAGCTTATCCTCTCCAGTTTCAGGGGCCACCCTGCTGCTGCAGGGGATCCACTATGGCCCTTTAGGCCAGCTTGGCTTAACACCTCCTGAGCTCCAGACTACCTCATATTTTGCCCTCTTCACTGGGTCTCCACTCTTAACGCCTCTGATGCTCTCACCTGTCCTCTCAGGTATCCAATACACTCTCCTGGGCTCTATATGAACTCTCTCGGCACCCGGAAGTCCAGACAGCACTCTACTCTGAGATCACAGCTGCCCTGGGCCCTGGCTCCAATGCCCATCCTTCAGCTACTGCTCTATCCCAGCTGCCCCTGCTGAAGGCGGTGGTCAAGGAAGTGCTAAGGTGAGGGAACAGGAGAGGAGGAGCTAGAGAAAATGCTGGGAAGGCCTGGGGAAGCAGATAGTGAGTGGGAGTAGGGAGAGAGAGCAGAGGAAAATGGTGCTCTACTCCTGGCCAAGAATGGGTTTGGACGTTGTGGGCTGAGGGATGAGAGGGAGGCTACAAGTCCTGGCCTCACCTTGCTGTTTCCCTCTGGCTCTGCAATCCAGACTATACCCTGTGGTACCTGGAAATTCCCGTGTCCCAGACAAAGACATTTGTGTGGGTGACTATATTATCCCCAAAAATGTGAGTAGAGCCTATGGATCCCTTTTGCTAAGCCATCCCCTCACTCTCTTGGGCCCCATCCTCTTCTCAAACATTCCACATAAGCCCTTCACCCTCCCTTTGGCCTGAATGCCCCTCTCTAGGATAAAATGGGACAGTGGAGAAATCATTCCAAAAGTAGCCCCAAAAAACTTCACCATAACCAACCAGAGCCTGCCTTTGCTCCAATCCATGTATCCTCTTTTCCATGTCCCTCCCTGCATTCATGGGCCCAAACTGACAAGTTTATGTTCCTTTCCCACCAGACGCTGGTCACACTGTGTCATTATGCCACTTCAAGGGATCCTGCCCAGTTCCCAGAGCCAAATTCTTTTCGTCCAGCTCGCTGGCTGGGGGAAGGTCCAGCCCCCCACCCATTCGCATCTCTTCCCTTTGGCTTTGGCAAACGCAGCTGCATGGGGAGACGCCTCGCAGAGCTTGAACTGCAAATGGCTTTGGCTCAGGTGAGTGATCTAGACATGAGAGACTCTAACCCTCTAAAGCCATGAACTCTTCTGACAAGCATAGGAAAATATATGATTTGGTAAACCTAATCCTCCGAAATATCGCAATCCTGTTATAGGTCTAGAAGGTGAGCAACGGTATTTAGACTATCTTTTTCCCTGCCATAATCCCTTACCCTCATTAACCAAGAAATTCTCTACTGACCACAGGTGCCATTTCAACATCGACCAACCTAACACTAATAATGCCCTTTACCAATCAAACCCACCATTGTAGACCCCTCCCATAGTGATAGCCTTCTTCCTCCCCTTTCCAGATCTTGACCCACTTTGAGGTGCAGCCTGAGCCCGGTGCTGCCCCAGTCAGACCCATGACCCGGACTGTCCTGGTACCGGAGAGGAGCATTAACCTACAGTTTGTGGACAGATAGTCCTGTGGATGGAGGCTGTCATCATCACGCTTTCTCTCATTGCAGGGATCTATCAGGCACAAGACCAAGAGATATGTATTCCCCCTGAAACCTGTCTATCTGACCAGACTGGTTAAAGGGATCATAGCAAACTGTTTGAGGCAGCCCTGACCAAGGTGTGAAGTAGGCATTGGCCTCACCCATCAGGCCCTGAGAAAACCATGATCCTTGTGTCTGCTCATCCTTTCTTCTGGTCATATCATAGGTACCCTTCAAGGGCCAACTCAAATTTTAACTAATAATGTTGGGTGGCCTGGGGAAGGACTCAACCACTGCCCTTTTGGGGCTGCTACAGTGTTTAGGAGCTGCTGGCTAAGCACTTATCACCACGTGAGCTAAGTGATTGTGCATCTGGTCTGCACCTGGCTCCTTGCATGTGAGCTCTTTGAGAGGAAGAATGAGACCTTATTCAGTCTTTATATCCCCTGCCAAGGCCTATCCCTGATTGGGTGACTCCATACAGGTTCTCAGATTGAATCTGGACCATGTGGCAGAAGGGATAAGCAGCTTATCAGGCTCTGTCTACTCTCTTCCTTCCTCATCTTGCCCCTACCAAGGAGAGTGTGCCCTCACCTGGTTTATGATGTTTTAAAACTCTCCTTGACTCTCTAATCACTATTAGGAGTTGGCTTGTCCCACCATTTAGTTCCCAGACAGAGACGTCTTTGGGCCTGTACCTGCCTACACCTTCCTATCATATGTGGAATTTTTTAATATTCATAGTTTTGAAATAAAAGAATCGAATGTTTCATCCTTGACTTTTGATTTACTTCTCTTCCACTTCTACTTCCTACAAGTCCTAGAGGCAAGGCCCTCAACCAAATCCCCTACTTTGATTTCTCTGGTCCTGGGAGTGACCTCCATAACAATGGGAGGTCTAGATACCTGGGAGAGTGGTTTGCATCACAAACCCAACACGTTTCTGTCTGTACAGGGAATAGCTAAGTCTGGCTCCCTAGAAGAGATTTAAGGGGGTGGTGGTGGTGAAAAGTACCTGCAAGGGCTAGGCTATAAAAGTGGGTTGGGGAGCACAGGATTTGCAGAGATGGCCAGAGGCAACTGACTCTGGTGGAAGTACTTTTGGAACCTGGACTGCCAGGACTGGAGGATGTCTGCCCTCTCTGGAAAAGTTGCTCCAAGCTAATTTCCTTCAGAGAAAGACAGGGATACATGCACAGAAGTGAATTCAGACAGGATGAAACCTGAGTGTGGGGGTGGCCAGAAGCCCTGGGGCACTGAGGCAGAAGGGGGGTGGGCAGAAGGAGCCTCTGTTTCCCTGAATCAGCATTCTCTGGCCCCCCCAGAGGCTGGGCACAGTTCTCCCCTTGTGATGTATACAGATTAACTCATCTTCCATACAAATAAATCTCTCAGCACACTCCCAGCAGCCCCTCTGTAGCCTAGATTCCCCTCCCCATGTCAAGACTTGCCCCCCTTATTCCTGCTCCTCTCCATTCCGATTAGCTGGATAGAGATGGAGATTTCACTTCACACTTCCTCCTCCTCCTCCCCTACCACATCGGCCCCCTGCCCTAGACATGGCTACCTGACCACAGACATTGTCTGCTACTGGGCCTTCTGGGGGTATCCATTTTTGTAAGATCTACAGAGGGGCACAATATACCCAAGGCACTGTGCAGAGACTAAGGTTTGTGTGCCTTTACTGCCCCTCCTCTCAACTCTCTATTGTATTCTCCATCTCCACCCCCACTCCTCTATCACTAAGCTTAACTTGAACCTAAGTGACCTGATTTTTAGCAGATCTGAGCTTTGAGGGAGAATAAAGCCCAGCTTCCTCTCACACCCTGTCCCCTGCCTGGAATCAGTGATGAGAACTCTGTACACCCACACTCCTCATTGGGCAAGTAGGACTGCTCACTTGAGGGCAGCAGTCCCATGACCCCTTTCCTAGACTAGAGTCTCTTTAAGTTGGAAAAAAGGAAGGAGAGAGGACCATACTGGTTGCTGGTCCCAACCCCCATACCAAGCAAGACCTCCAATGGTACTGAAAGGGAGGGAAACATACTGTCTCAACTGACCTAATTTTAGGACCCAGAGTGAAACTGGAGAGAGTGCATTTGTGTGTATATGTTCTTTGGTGTGTCTAAGTTTCCAAGGAGGGCCATCACCATGAACAGCCCAGGTTTGGCACAAGAAACCCCACCTATGTCATACCTACCTGTCATATTTGCCAGGATAGGTACCAGTAGTCACTCTGATTTGCTGTCTTCCTTCTGGTCCCTACCAGCTATTTTGTGAATAGCAAATCAGCAAAGTCTGACCCTTCTGTCTTCCCAGGTGAAGAATGTGGAGGGTTATCTCTCTAGGCAAACAATTTCCCACTGGAAAAATCGGCCTCTGTCCCCTCTCTTTGATCTCTCTCCCTCTCTTTTGTTAGAAGAGATATACTCCAGTACTTCCAGATGACTCAAACCTGCCTTTAGCTTCAGTTCCTCCATTCCCAGGAGAGTCTGGGTGCCAGCACCATGGACAGCAGTCAACACCCCCCCCCCACCCCCCTTTTACAGAAGGATGGAGAAGACCATTTCCAAGGCAAGGATGTGACCTTTAGTAGACCTTTAGTAGAGAAGCATTTCCCCAAAAAACATCCCCAGGGAGGAGGCAAAACAGAATCTTCCTGAGGAAAGGACCAATAATAGGAAAGGCGTCTGGATCTGACTTAACAATGTATGAAGTAATTATTTTAATTGCTGATGAATAGTTCACTTAAAAGACACCATCATTCATATAATACACAGCCCCAAGGCCTCAGGAGAAAGGGAGGAGGCCTCAGGCTGACCCACATTTTAACCAGTCCTTCCCAAACCTTTTCTCTATAAACAACAGCTCTCTATGCTGCTGCCTCCAAACGCAATACCTTCCAGTTAATACCACTAGCTGGGGCACGGGATCAGACCTGTGACCCTGAACTTCCATAGGAATAGCTTAAGCTGGGGTTGGAGATTCATAACATTGGGACATTCTGTCTGTCTCACTCCAAATGAGTCCAAATTCATTTCATGCCACTTCTCTGGGTGAGCACATTACCTGGGAAGGACCAATAGAACCCACAAGATCCCCAGAAGAAGAAGGACAGCTCCATCCTTCCCCAGTCCCCAATGTTTAGGGGGTTGGGGAGCTCTCATTCTTGCAAATAACCACCATCCTTCACACTTGTGTATCTATTTCCCCTCATATTTCCGTATCTATTATGACACTCAACATGTATTTCCAAGGCTCTGTGCAACCCCAGATGAAAAAACACATTTTGGAATTTGTTAACCAGCTACTATTTGAAATAAATGGACCATCAGCTAGTCTAGAAATCTTTTTATGCCATCACTAATTTTCTTTGTGATGGCATTCAACCTGTCCCTCATTTATCCTCATTCCAACCCTATGAGGTAGACAGGAAAACCACGGCGGAGAGATTTTTTTTCTGGATCATACAACTTGCAGGTGGCAGGCCCACCCCTTAGGTCCCTCTGAGCACTGCCACCTAGCAGCCAATGTGAATTATTCACCAACAAGTGGGAGTTACAGCTCCAACTCAGAACCCACTGCTGCACTGGGGATTCACAACCTCTGCAGAGAAACCTCCCCACACCTCCCAACCCTCCAGAAAAGCCCCAGATGAGAAAGGAGTCTCCACGTGCATATAAATGATTCTTTATGCCCTCCCCCCATGCAATGGGGGGTGGAGCAGGGGGAGGTCCCTCCCGCCCTCATGCAGGGAACGGGAGGTCAATGTATACTAGTCTTATTGCCAGCTGCCCTGTGGCCATGGGGTGGGGAATGGGGCGTCTACAACCCCTTTCTTCTGGCATTGGTCCCCCTTCACCAAGTCACTATGGTGGAGCTGGGGGGGCTGGAGGCCCTAGGAGCTGAGGTAAGGACGGTTCTCTAGGGAAGAAAAGATGCTCTTCCCACCTGCCCACTGGTTGCCCCAGGATAAGCGTGAGGAACTATCAGTGGGGGCTGGAATGTCATCCAGGTGTCTCTACCCAATGGGCAGTAGAGGCCAGACAATGTCTCCAGCTTGAGGCTGCCCACAGAGATCCTCAGTGGTGGGGGCAGTGCACCCCAAGCACCTTGTCCAGGTGGTACCTCCAGCAGCCATGACAGCTTATCTCTGGCCGATGCACTGATGCAAGATCCCCGCTCCTGGAGTTCAATTTCAGACCGTGGTGACCCTCATGACAACCTCTCGGCCAGAATGGGAACTGGAACGGGCATCTGGCGGCCGCAGCTGTCCAAGGAGGTGCAGGATTGTGTAACCACAGCGCTGAGGCAAGAGCGTCCGCATGCGCTGGGCAGCCGGGGGGCGGCTGGTGGCCCCAGAGGGGGGGCCCGTCCTTGAGGTCCTGGGGCCCGGCTTCCCTGCCGTCCCTCCCCCTGTGTCTCCTCCTATGTCCTTGGTCTTGTCATAATTCAGGACCTTCCACTGCTGGTTCACTGCCTGCCAGCGCTTGAAGATGCGGTAGACAGAGGAGCCTTCATGCACGATGAGGCCTGAGCGAAAGGGAGAAGAGATCCAGGGTCACCGGCTGCCCAGACCTAGGCCAGGGGTACTTAAGCAAATATAGGCCAGAGTGAGGAGATAGGGTATGCAAAAGACCTGAAGAGGCAGGGAAGGGAGGGGCACCAAGATAGCCCTAAAGGCTCCCAGTGGTAGAAAATTGTGGCTATGGAGCTAAGGGAATGGGCAGGGAAAGTTAAGTGTGTGAGTTGGAGGAAACCACTGAGTAGGTAAGGGGGAGAGGGGTGCCCTCACCTATGCAGACGACATCCATGAAGCCATACATGCCGTAGCAGATCTGAAAGAGCAGATCTTGCCGTTGCCACTTGGCTGAAGGGCTGAGTGAGGACCAGATGAGCCAGGAGATGCTGGCAACGAGGAAGAGAGAGCCCAGAACTATGGCTGCAATCTGGACCTTCTCGATGACCGTCAGGGAGATGGCTTGCCACTGTGTGGGAAAAAGGGCTCCAAAAAGTCACAGAAAGAAAAAGAGGGCCAGGTGGTGAGTGGCCCTGAAGAGGAAGACGCTCCAGAGCCTTCCTGAAACCCTTCAGGCAGGATTAACAATCTGTCTCCTGTGTGTCCTGATCAAACCTCGTATGGGATACTTTTCACACCGTCTGAGACCACTTGTCTGCCTTATGTTAGAAAGACAGGATCAGGCAAGTGCTCTGAACCCAGACCATTTAGGTTTGAATTCCAAATCCTAACTCCATCTCTTACTGGCTGAGTAACTTTGGGCAAGTTTTTAAATATCTCTGTGCATCAGTGTTCTCATCTCTAAAATGGGGAAAGTAAGGGGCGCCTGGGTGGCTCAGTCGGTTAAGCATCCAACTTCAGCTCAGGTCATGATCTCACGGTTGGTGAGTTCGAGCCCCACGTCATGCTCTGTACTGACAGCTCAGAGCCTGGAGCCTGCTTCGGATTCTGTGTCTCCCTCTCTCTCTCTCTCTCTCCCCCTCCCTGCTGGTGCTCTGTCTCTCTTTCTCTCAAAAATGAACAAACGCTAAAACGAACTTTTTTAAATAATAAAAAGATAAAATAAAATGGGGATAATAATGGCAGATAACTAATAGGATTATTATGAAGATTAAATGAGTTGCTACACACCAACAGTGTGACACATAGAACACACTACACGTCTGCTACCATCATCACCTTCGGCATTATCGTCTTTTGCCTTTTCGTTGTCCCAGTGCCTAGGACAGTGCCTGGAATACACATGGTTCCCGATAAATGTGAATAAATGAAGGAAGGACTTACAGACAGACGGGAGATTATGGTAATGGTGGGTAGGGGTGCTTTGAGGAAAAAGTAAGCGGTTAAAATAGGCTCCCTGGAGAGTCCCTAATTCTGCTGCTGAAAGCCCTTGCCCCCTCTGGAAGTTCCTTCCTAGCATCTCACCTGCAGTGGGTTCTTGGTGCTGATTGCCAGGACCTGGTACTTGAAGTAGCAGAGCTCACAGCTCCAGGAGCCCCTCTCACTGATCCAGCGAATGAGGCAGGGCTGGTGTGTGCAGCGCACTGAGCCGTCGCAGCGGCAGGGGCTCAGGAGCTCCCCCTGGAGGAAGAGTGAGGAGGGTCCGGTCAGCTGTCTCCACCCGACCCCACTCCTCTCCAATCCAAGAGAGGGAAACCTCTCCAGGTCAGTCATTCTCCAACCTTAAAAAAATTCAGGCCTCTCACCCAAAACAGGGCAAGAAGGCTGAGGCCTCCGAGAAAAAAGAAAAAAGTTAGAGCTCAGGGTAAACTTCCCTGCCCAAATAGATGAAGAACGAACCGAAATGGGGCTAGGAGAGGACTGAGTTTTCTCCTTTCCTAAAATTTGGGGAGGGTGCTCTTTATTAAGGCTTCCCAGATGGAAAGCTACCCCTTAGGTTCCAGAGAGGCAGGAGGGTCAGAGCTTCTGATCCATGCCTTCCTCCTCCATCCCTTCGCTGTAAAGTGTTTCACAGATGTGGTACAGACTGGGATGAGTTATCGTCTTCAGTTTCCAAGTATCAAAAGGGGGAGAGTTCCTGGGAGTGGGAATATGTTCCCCCTGAATCAAGGAATCATTTCTCATAACAAAGGTACACCCCCCCCCCCC